TCATCTCTTGTTTCTCTCTCATTTTCTATCTCTCCTTCTATCTCTTTCTCTCTCTATCTTTTTCTCTCTTTGTCTCTCTCTCTCTCTAACTCATCACTCTTCTCTGTTTGTCTGTTTGTCTGTCTGTCTCTATCTCTCTCTTTCTCTCGTTGTCTCTCGCTCGTATCTCTTCTCTCTATCTCTCTCATCTGTCTTCTCTCTCTGCCTCTCTCACTCATCTCTCTTCTCTTTATCTCTCTCGCTCATCTCTCTCTGTCTCTTTCTCATTTATCTCTTTTCGCTCTTTCTCTCTTTGTCTATATCTTTTCATCCATTTTTTCATCTTCCTTTCTCTCTTCTCTTTCTCTCTCTCACTCATCACTATTCTCTCTCTGTCTGTTTGTCTATCTGTCTCTCTTCTCTCTATGTCTCTCTCTTTTTCTGTGTCTCTCTCTCGCTCATCTCTTTTCGCTCTATTTCTCTCTTTTTGTCTATCTTTCGCTCATCTCTTGTTTCTCTCTCATTTTCTATCTCTCCTTCTATCTCTCTCTCTCTCTCTCTCTCTCTTTCTCTCTCTAACTCATTACTCTTCTCTGTTTGTCTGTCTGTCTGTCTCTATCTCTTTCTTTCTCTCTTTCTCTCGTTGTCTCTCGCTCGTATCTCTTCTCTCTATCTCTCTCATCTGTCTTCTCTCTCTGCCTCTCTCACTCATCTCTCTTCTCTTTATCTCTCGCTCATCTCTCTCTGTCTCTTTCTCATTTATCTATTTTCGCTCTTTCTCTCTTTGTCTATATCTTTTCATCCATTTTTTCATCTTCATTTCTCTCTTCTCTTTCTCTCTCTCACTCATCACTATTCTCTCTCTGTCTGTTTGTCTATCTGTCTCTCTTCTCTCTATGCCTCTCTCTCTTTCTGTGTCTGTCTCTCACTTATCTCTCTCTCACTACCCATCTTCTCTACCATATTGACCACTACTGCAAATGCCATTCCACTACTACCACTGTTGTCACTCCATCTCTACAACTATCATTACTACCATCATCGCTACCACTCCACTACCAACACTACTACTACCATTACCTCTCATCTACCACCGCTATTCTATCTCCTCTACCACTACCACAACTTCACCACTTATCTCATTCACCATCACTACCACCACCACTATCACCTCTTATCCACCACTACTGCCATTTCTATCCTCTACCACAAAAAATTAGTTCTTGATTTTTAGTATATGAAAAAAAATGAGTCACAAAAAAATCATTGACCACAAAAAATTAACTTTATTTTAATGGAAAATATTATCCATACTTCTACCAAATAAAAAAAATAATAATTTTTTATTCATTAAAATAAATATGAAACAAATAAATTTTCAACCTTACTAAATGTTAAAAAAAAAAAAAATTCATCAACTATAAAAAAATTTATTTTAATAAAAAATAATTTTTTTAACAATTCTTCCGTTGAAAAAAAAAAAAAAATCATTTTATTATTTAAATATTCATTTGTAATAAAAATAAAAAAAATTCCAAAAAACATTTCCAATCCCCCCCCTTTTTCCATTCCCACTCGGGTTCTCCTACCCCAAACCCAAAATCCCCAATGTCAAAAATCCCTAATCCCTTCCCCCTTTTCCATTCCCGCTGGTTTTTCCCCCCTCAACCAAAAATCCCCAAAAAAAACCCTAATATGCACACAGCTCTCTCATTCCTCTCATTTTATCTCATCTCATCAGTCTCTTTCTCACTCTCATTTTCATCTGCACAGATCGACTCCACACCGATCAAACTCGCAAGATCGACTCCTCACCGATCGACCTCACTCCCTCATTGCACCGATCGATCTCATAGGTAAGCTTCTCTCTCTCTCTCTCTCTCTCTCTCATCTCATCAGTCTCTCTCTCACTTCATCTCATCAGTCTCTCTCTCACTCTCTCATTTTCGTCTGCACAGATCGACCTCGCAAGATCAACTCCTCACCGATCAACCTCGCAAGATCGACTCCTCACCGATCAACTTCACGGATAAGCCCCTCTCTCTCTCTCTCTCACATCTCAACATAGTTTGTGTGAGATGAAAAAAAAAAGAGTAAAAAATAAAAATAAAATCAAAGAAAATACTCAAATTATTTATGTAGGGTGAAACTGACAGGCATATGTTTTTGTTTTTGATATTTTTATGTGGTCTAAAATCGGGTAGGTAGGGGTGCTATTTAACTCACCATAAAATCTAGCTTAATGGGTATGTTCTACAATTTCATGCAGGGTTCACTTGGGACTTGTATAAACTACCATAGACTATTCATCCATAAAAATGTCAAAACAGTTTGCTAATTGTTCTCCACAAAAGGCTTTAATTTTATTTATTTTTATTATTATTGAATTGGGTTGCTTTTCCATCATATGGTCTATTTAGTCACCATCTTGTTACTGGGACATATAGACACAGTGTCTTTATAACACGTATACGTCAGGAGTGGTTTAAAGCTGGATTCATTTACTTCACTGTAATTGATAGAGAAGATCTTTATGTTTGGCTTGGTAATTTTCCTTTTATAACACGGCTCCCCTGCCTTCAATTTTTGATCGGTTCTCGCTGCCACAGTGGCACATATTTGTTAAAATACTGGCGTTTACAACCATTTCTCACGCCATCTAGGGTTTCGAACACTATCTTAACACACATATACGGATTCTACTGCCACTAGTGGCAGATATGTAAATACGGCGGTTTACTTACCATTTCTCACGCATTAGGGTTCCGAACAAGTCGAACACCTATACGGATCTCCTGCACAGCGGCAGATTTGTACATACGGGCTCGTGTTTACATTACCATTTTCTTGCGCATTTAACGGTTCGCAACACTCGGAACACCGTATATAACGGATTCTCAGCTGACAGTGGCAGATATGTAATATGGGGTTTCCATACCATTCTTGCCACCATTTGGTTCGAACAACTCGAACCACCTGATTACGGATTCTGCTTTCACAGTGGCAGATATGTAAAATACTGGCGTTTTACATTACCATTTCTTTTGCGCATTACGGCTCGAACACTCGAACACCTATACGGATTCTCCTGTACGTGGCAGATATGTAAACTATTGGGGTTTCATACCATTTCTTAGCCATTAGGGCTTCGAACACTCGAACACCTTTTACGGGATTCTCCTGCACAGTGGCAGATATGTAAAATACGGATGCGTGTTGACTTACATTTCTCTGCGCATTAGGCGTTCGAAGCACTCGAAACACCTATACGGATTCTTCCTGCACAGGCAGCCCCAGGCCTAGCCCAGGTATATGTAAAATACGGCGCTTTACTTACCATTTTTCTCACGCATTAGGGTCTGTGAACACTCGAACCACCTATACGGATTCTCGCTGCACAGTGGAAGATATGTAAAACGGCGTTTACTTAACCATTTCTCACGCATTACGGTTCGATACACTTCGAACACCTTATTACGGATTCTCCTGCACAGTGGACATATATTGTAAATTCGGGGCTTACATGTTCATTTCTTGCGCATTACGGTTCGATCACATTCGAACACCTATCGGATTCTCCTGCCCACAGTCCCGGCCAGATATTGTAAATATGGGGTTTCCATTACCATTTCTTGCGCATTTAGTGGGTTGAACACAGCGAACACCTATACGGATTCTCACTTGCACCAGTAGGCAGGATATGTAAATAACGGCGTTTACTTTACATTCTCACCGTCATTTACGGGTTCGAACACTCGAACACCTATACGGATTTCTCCTGCACAGTGGCAGATATGTAAAGTACGGGGTTAATGTCATTTTTCTTGCGCATACGGTTCGAACACGTCGACACCTATACGGATTCTCCTGCACAGTGGCAGCAGATATGAATAAATTTATTGGGGTTTCCATACCATTTCTGCGCTATTATGGGTTTCGAACACTCCGAACACCTATACGGTATTCTCCTGCACAGGTGGCAGGATATGTATACGGCGCTTTATTACCATTTCTCACTCTCATTAGGGTTCGAACCTCGGAACACCTATACGGTTCTCCTGCACAGTTGGCACATTATGTATATACGGCGTTTACTTACCATTTTCTCTACGCATTAGGGTTCGAACACCTCGAACACCTATACGGATTCTCCTGCACGAGTGGCAGATATGTAAATACGCCGGTTTTACTTACCATTTTCTCACGCGTTAGGTCGAACAAATCGAACACCTATTTACGGATTCCCTGACAGTGGCAGATAGTGTAACATACGGGTTTTACATACCTTTCTTGCGCATTACGGGTTCGAAACCACTCGAAACACCTTATAGGCATTTCCTGAACGAGTGGGCAGATATGTAAAAATATGGGTTTCCATACCATTTCTTGCGCATTAGGGTTTTCGAACACGTCCGAACCACCTATACGGATTCATCCTTCACAAGTGGCAGATATGTAAATTACGGCGTTTAGCATACCATTTCTTGCCGCATTACGGTTCGAACACTCGAACACCTATACGGATTCTCCTGCACAGTGGCAGATATGTGAATATGGGTGTTTCCATACCATTTCTTGCGGCATTAGTGGTTTCGAGACACTCGAATACCTTTACGGATTTCTCCTGCACAGTGGCAGATATGTAAATACTGGCGTTTTACTTACCTTTCTCGCGCATTTAGGGTCTCGAATACACTCGAACACCTATACGGATTCTCGCTGCACATTTGGCAGATATGTAATACGGCGTTTACTTACCATTTCTCACGCATTAGGGTGTCGAACACCTCGACACTATACGGATTCTCCTGCAGCAGTGGCAGATATGTAAATACCGGGGTTTACAGTACCCATTTCTTGCGACATACGGTTTCGAACACTCGAACACCTATACGGATTCATCCTGCACAGTGGCAGATATGTTAAATACGGCGTTTTACTTACCATTTTCTCACGCAGATTTAGGGTTCGAAACCACTCGAACACCTATACGGATTCTCCCTGCACGTGGCAGATATGTAAAAAATACGGGGTTACATACCATTTTCTTGCCGCATTACGGTTCGACACAACTTGAACACCTATACGGATTCTCCCTGCACGAGTGACAGATATGTAAATACGGCGTTTACTTATCATTTTCTCACGCATTAGGGTTCGAACACTGAACTACTCTTATACGGATTCTCCTGCACAGTTGCAGATTGTTAAATACCGGGGCTTTACATGTCATTTTTCTTGTCGCATTGACGGTTCGAACACTCGACACTATACGGATTCTCCTGCACAGTGGCAGAATGTAAATATGGGTTTCCCATTACCATTTCTTGCGCATAGGGTTCGAACACTCGAACCACGCTATACCGGATTTCTCCTGCACAGTGGCCAGATATGTAAATACGGCGGTTTACTTTACCATTCTCACGCATTTAGGGTTCTGGAACACCTCGAACACCTATACGGATCTCCTGACAGTGGCACATATGGTAAATGAGGCGCGGCGTTTTACATAAAACCAATTTTTTTTTTTTCTCACGGAATTTAGGGGTTCGAACACTTCGAACACCTATACGGAATTCTTCCCTATGCACGATTGCAGATATGTAAAATACGGCGTTTACTTACCATTTCTCACGCATTAGGGTCGAACAATCCGAACACCTATACGGATTCTCCTGCCACAATAGTGGCAGATATGTACATACGGAGGGGTTTACATACCATTCTTGCGGCATTACGGTTCGAACACTCGAACCACCTATACGGATTCTCTTGAACAGTGGCAGATAATGTAAAAATGGGGTTTCCATACCGATTTCTTGCGCATTTGGGTTCGAACACTGAACACCTATACGGAGTTTCTGGCTTCACTTGTTGGACAGATATGTAAATACGGCGTTTAACATTTTTACCATTCTTGCGATTACGGTTCGAAACACTCGAAACATACCTATACGGATTCTCCTGTACAAGTGGCAGACTATGTATCATATATGGGGTTTCCATACCATTTCTTTGCCGACATTAGGTTCGAAGCACGTCGCACTTATTACGGATTTCTCCTGCCAGTTTAGGCAGATATGTAAATACGCGCGTTTACTTACCATTTTCTCTTCGCATTAGGGGTTCGAACACCTCGAAAACAACCTATACGGGGATTTCCTGACACAGGGCAGATATGTGAAGCATTACGGCGTTTACTTACCATTTCTTCACGCATAGGTTTGAACCATCGACACCATATACGGATTCTCCTGCAAGTGGAAGATATGTAAATACGGGTTTACTTACCATTTTCTTCACGCATTACGGTTCGAACACTCGAACACCTATACGGATTCTCCTGCCACAGTGGCAGATATGTAATACGGCGTTTACATAACATATTCACGCATTTAGTGTTTCGAACACATCGAAACACCTATTACGGATTTTCATCCTGCATAAGTGCCAGATATGTAATACGGGTTTACATTTACCATTTCATTGCCGCCATTAACGGTTCATTCGAACATGCGATCGAACACCCTATAGCGGGGGGGATTTTTCTTTTCTCTGAACAGTGGCGATTATTGCTAAATATGGGTTTCCCATTTTACCATTTTTCTTGCGCATTAGGGTTCGAACACTGCGAACACCTATACGGATTCTCTTCACAGTTGGCAAGATATGTAAATACGGCGTTTACATACCATTTCTTGCGCATTACGGTTCGTCGGAACACTCGAACACCTATTACGCGATTTCTCCTGCACGCAGCTGGGCGATATTTGTAAATATGGGGGTTTCCATACCATTTCTTGCGCATTTAGGGTTCGAACACTCGAATACCTTTAGCGGATTCTCCTGCCACCGAGTGGCAGATATGTAAAATACGGCGTTTCTTACATTTCCTCTCGCATTTAGGGGTATTCGAACAACCTCGAACACCTATACGGATTCTCCTGCACAGTGGCAGATAATGTTAAATACGGCGATTTACTTACCATTTCTCACGCATTAGGTTCGAACACCTCGACACCTATACGGACTTCTCCTGCGACAGTGGCTAGATATGTAAATACGGGGTTTACATACCATTTTTCTTGCGCA